TTCTTTTTGACCTGAAGCCGAAAGTTTCAGAACCCACCTGGACCCTCAAGAACCTACCTTGTTAGGGCTCCTTACTATGATTTCTTTCTATAAGTCCTAAAAATTAGGGCTCCTTACTATGATGTCTTTCTATAAGTCCTAAAAATTAGGGCTCTTTACTATGACATCTTTCTATAGGTCCTTAAAAATAGGCTGTTTGGGGTTAAAGCAGGGCTTCTGTCAAACCCAAAGCCCAAACGTAAGCCTAAGGTATTGTAATTTGGGCTCTTAGGCTTCGGCTTTACACTACTTAAAGGATCATGGGACTTAGTAACTGAGGTTATAAACAAGGTAACTATACTTATAACCCCAATTAGGGTACCTATAACCCTACTAACTAAGTCGCAAGATCCTCCAAGTAGGGTTTAGGGCTTAGGGTTGACAGCAAAGTCCCTAGATTTAGGCGATCCTCGTGACAAGATACCAGAGACCATGGACAGCAGTATGAACAACCTACACGAAGCCTGGACCCTATACAACCTTCCTTTTTAGGGCTCCCTAGTATGATTTCCTATTACACCGAAGTAGTAAATCCTTACAAGGGTAGATTAGTTGGGGTCCAGGTCAGCTCTGCAACAAAGCATGCCTAATCGATGAGTGCGAAGACCAAGCAGCGCCTTTACCAGCCCCTCCTTCAAGAACATCTGATCATCATATGGGGGCCTTAATGATTAGAATAGGGTTTGGGGTATATTGTACTATAATTATAATCAGGAACCCCAANNGGTAATTATTGAGGCCCCTATTTTAGGTCATTTCAGCTGCTTGAGGTCCCCAGAGATCTTTTCTTTTCCTGCGGCATCAATCAGAGTCGTAAATGACGAAGGCTTCGCGGGTGAGTGATGAGGCCGCAGACTCTAAGCTCAGTCCTTGACCGGCGCCTGGTGCGACCGGAGCTCGCATTGCGAAGAGGAAGTGAGCAAGCTGTAACATGTGGCGGTTGCAATACTTGCTCTTCGTGGTGTTGAAATGTAGTGTAGTTGGCGTGAGACCTCCCTCGCCAGCAGGTGCTTCGAAGAACACCGCGCAGGTAAAGTGGCCACCCACATCGAGACAAGCTATCCTCGGAAATCCAGCCGTTGCTGCACACCGGACCTCCCATTCATCTGCACGCAGCAAGAGCCCTCTGTTTGGAATCTCCACAATCACCGAGCGATCTCCCTTCTTTGGATCGAATCGTAGACCTTCACTCCCACTCTCCGTAGTCACCTGGGGGGATTGTTCCACAGACAGGCCCTTCTGGTTTGGGTTTCGGGTTTCGGGTTTAGGGTTTGGTCTGGTTTGTTCATCTTGTGGCGTGCACTGCTACCGACGGGTGATCGACAAACTTCTACCCATTCCGTTCTTGCCGCAAACCATGATTTCCAAGGCAGGATTCTGTTCATGAGTAGTGCACTACTATGGAAGACTACTCTAAAACCCTCACCTTTAAACTGAGCCAAACCCAACACCGCAGAACCAAACCCGTAATCAGGAGAAACTTGCAAAGCTCTCCGGCGAAATTGAGCTTCCAGGTTGTGCCTAGTCAACGAACAACGGTTCGAAAAAGGACGATGACTTTCCCTTCCGATTGTTTCTTGGGGTAGGATGATTCGCTGGATTTAAACGTACATTCCTGAAGAGAGACTCATGGGGTGGGTGGTAGTAGTAGTAGCAGTAGTA